TTGGTTCTCCTTCCACCTCAAAAATGCTTGTAAAAAACCACGATCTATCTAGCGTTAGCACATCCAGCCATATAAAATCCATGCATTTTGGAAGTGCAAGGGCAGTGGCTTAATCACACTGGCCAAACCCAAATCAACAAAGTGTCATGGCCTGCACAAAACGGGCTCACAACTGATCATTTCCCCACGGCAGGGAAGTAGCATCTACCTTTTGCAAGGCTGGGCCAGTTCCACAAGCCTTGGTGTGGCCACTGCCTGCTTTGCAGCCTTCGTCACTGGCCACGCAGCGTCCCGTGGAGGCACATAGTCAAGATGCAATCTTTTTGCCCTAGCCAGCTCCAGGGTCCGAGGGCTTGCAATTGCCTTCTGAGCCGACTTGGACACCTGTGGAAGAATGGGGAGGAAGGTCCTTACAGGGGCTCCTGGCATGCAAGGGTGACCAGCCTGCAACTCAGCGTACCCAGGTTCACAGTCATTCACCAGGCACAGATGGGACATGATCCTGTCCACAGCTGTGTCTGGCACCAGACAAGCTGTGGAAGGAGAAACCACTGCCTGGCCAGTCCCACAACCTGCTCTCCAACCTCCTCTTGCTTATAACCCTTTGTCCAACCCATCCTCCAGCACTGGAGATCCCAATTAGACATCTCTCTCCATCCCCACAACTGCAGGCTAGGCACAGGTCTGCCCTTCTCTGGGGATGTCTGCTGGGAGCCAGTTCATAATCGGGATGGAGGACGAGCCCTGCTTGCCAGCCCGGAAGCAGTAATGCCAGCCTCACAGAGAGCAGCACATCCAGGGCTGCCATGAAAAAAGCCACCAGTGACTGCATGCCCACTGCCCGCCCCTTGTCCTTGTCGTGCCTGGCGTCCCTGACATGCACGGTCCTGGGCAGTGCCGTCTTACCGGACGGATGACAGATTCGAGAAAGCTGTCCTCATAGAAGCAGGTCACCTCCCTGACCCGGGGCTCTGCCAGACGCTGTAACCGCGAGGATGCTCTGGCCGAGGCCGCAACATTTGTAACCCGTGTTGGCACCTGCAGAGGTTCAGAATGAGGGAGGGATGTGCAGACAAAGAGCTCGTCCACAGCGGCCCACCGGGACACACTCCCTCTCCAAAGCAATGCACACTCAGCACCCTTCCTCTACAGATATGGACGCAAGAAGGAGCGCTCTTACTTTCCCAGCAACTGTTATTTTTCTTTCACCTGAACTACAAGGTCATTTTGGTGCTATTGGGATTTGTACACCTTAGCCAATATTACTTCTTTCCCCAGCTGTCACCCACTTGCAGCCAGGAGAGGAATGCCTGTAATGAATGCCTGCGTAGCCAGGTAAAAGTGCAGAGAAATGTCTTCCAGAGTAGAGAAATGTTCTTCATACTCATCTTCCTGGCTGAATCAAATAATTTCCTTGCTACGGAGAGGCACACGGATTTGAGGGTAAATGTGCTGGTGCAGTTAACTGCACTCCTACAGCAAAAGTGATTATTGCTCCAGCATCAGACTTCTTCCTCTGTTTTTCAGAGGGTTACTGATGCCAAGGTCTGCTCCAGCCCAGCCTCCCTTATTTCCCAGCCCAGAGATTGCAGCTAGAAAACTTAGCCTTTGCCATGGAAATGACTGTAATCTGAGATTGCCCCAAGCGCTTTCACCCCTGCCAAAGCAATGACCCGCCTAAAAGGAGCAAGTTCAGAAATACATCTCTAAACAAGGCTTCTGGTAAAACAGTTAAAATATACATAGCGTTTGCAAGCTCATCCCCCCTCTATACACAGATAGGCACACATCCATCCAACTACAAACACAACTGTATTCCCTAGGAGCTAAACAGGCCATTCCCATCAGGATTCTCCACTTTCCCAGCCTGCTTTATCAAGGGATGCAGCCCAGATTCCTCCCTTGGCTCTCCTGCTGTTCTAGGCTGCTCCGGCCTGGCTGTTTTCTGTCTCTCAGCAGGGAGATTTTCAAAGACAGCATCTCACTTCGAAAAGGCAGTTTTTCTCAGTATCTCGAACCCCAGCAGAACCAGACAGCTTCTCGCCTCCACAGCACACACTGGGCACGTCCAGGGACAGGACACAAGGTGAAAAAGCTCAGGTGAGTTTGCTGTATCACTGTCCCCTTCAAATCTCACTCAACCATCTCCTCACCTCTCTGGCCCACAGAAACTCTGGGTGCAGCGCCTTTGGCCGTGCAAGCTCGAGGATCCGCGGGGAGGCCTCATAGCTCAGTGCAGCTCGCGACACAGGCCACTGAGGGGACTCGCGAGGTCTGGAAGCAGAGAGTCATGGCACCGCTACTCACAGATATATATTAACCCACACTGGTTAAACCAAGCTACAGCTGGGATGTTTAAGCCTCATGTTTGCTGCAGTAGAAGGCAGCATTGTTTTGTGGCCATTGCCAGTGTAGAACCCACTCACACCATAAGTCCAGAGGTCCCCTAATCCCAGCAGAGTCCTTGCTCTGCATTTTGCCCTCTGTTGTACCCATCCTCTGTTCCTGCACTTATTACTTTGAGGCTGCACTGATGCAGCCAGACCCAAGGGCCTACCCTATAGCATCCTACAGACTTTCTAGACTCTCACCTTTGCTGCAGGTAAGCAGCATGATATTTTTTAGGTTCAGACAACTTCAGCAGCCGATCAGAAGGGACGCGAAAATCTGGTACCAGAGGACGCTCCCAGATCGTTGATTCCCGTCCACAGCTGTACAAGAAGAGGGGTCTGGAGGAACAGCACAGAAGAGTTAGTAGTAAAAGGCAACTGCCAGATAATGTGATCCTGGCAGATAGTATCCTAAGTCTGGTTGAACATCCATGCCTGCTTCATGTACAAAAGTTGGCACCAGTGCACATGGAAAAGCCATGAACAACTGGGCATTTCTGCTTGAGATTTCCTGACTTTAAAGGCAAATGTGTTTGCATATGCAGAGTCCTCTTTTAAGCACTCTCAGTGCTTAAAAAGTCTAGGCCTTTCCCATGACCATTTCAAAAAGCCACTCCACAACACAAACCTGGCAGCATCTCTGTGGTTCAATTCTGCCAGTTTAGAAACCTCTTTGTTGCAGTGGCTTAATAGCATCTTGTGCTCTTCCAGATCCTTTCATCTTGGGATGTCCCCAGGCTTGCCTAGCGCATGCTCATCCAGCTTTCCATCAGCCACAGCTGTTGGCAGCTGTCACCACCAGGGAAGAGGTGAGTGAGGTGCGCAGAAAGGCAGGGAGGGCTGTCAGACAGACACCGTTAGTCAGACGCAGAAGCTCCCAGGCGAATGAGAGCCCCTGAACCGATGACAGTGGCAGAGGAGAGAAAACTACAGACACACGTCTTGACATCCCTCCAGGTAGAGGAAAGCTGGGAGTGCAACATGGTTTCATCTCCATTCTCATTGCTAGGACTTCTTACAGACTAGCAACCACCATCCTGTCTCCGAAAGAGCTCCAACCCCTCCAACGGAGCTACAGATGAGTTGCTTCAAGTAATGCAACATCACCCAGCCCCACTGAAGTTTACATTTTTTTACATCAATTTTCACTCCTGTTCCTAAACGTGGACTGCTTTGACTGGATTTCTCTGTTCATAGCACTTCCTAACCTTTACCCTCAAAATGTAGGCCAGGTTCCAAGAGGATGCAGGGGATCACTAATTATGTCCAGGTGCCTGGCTAGGCTGCATCAGCCCCAGTACGGACAGGGAACACTCTAGGGACAGACAGTTCCTCTGTACACACAGGTGTGACACATACATGTTTCTATTAAGGCACACATGCATGCACGCAATGTCTCTGCTTCCAAGCTGAAGCAGAGCAGTTGGTTTGTTAAGGGTTTTTTGGTTACAGTAGAGGAACATGCTCACATGTGCTTAGAGACTGAGATTAAGTCTGTCTCCTATGGCAGCTGATCCGAAACCAGAGCTCTAACCAGACCAGCAACCAACATGTGTGGCAGAAGCCCTTCCCACAGCCAGGAAGCAGATATGAGGAAATAAAAGGGCACCAAAACTCAGCACCCCACAGATATTCCTCATTTTAGAAGTCAAGCACTCAGGGTGACTATGCTCCCATAACACATTCTTCCCTGCTACAGACAGTCCCTGTTCAAAGCATCACTACAGCCCGGTGGGTCTCAGTGGCATAGAGCTTCCTGTGGGGTAGCGGTGGCAGGAGAGGAGACGGCACCTCCCCTTCCCCTGGAAGCCGGCACATCCCCCTGATGAGAGAGCACCATCTGAGCTGCCTCCTTCCCAAGAATGTGCTGTCACATCACTGACCTGCACTGGTGCTTGCCAAAATCTTTCTTGGGCTTGGCCAGTGCCACTGTTCTCGGAGATGGTTGAATTGTCATAGCACTCTGCGAGAGGGTCCAGATCGTCTCTTGGTTTCCCCACACGAGCCTAGCAAGAACAGCAAGGGTGTGAAATTTTAGAAACATGCACAAATGTGCAATATGCCTGCTGGGGCTATCCCTCCCTGCCTAGTATGCGACACACGCACAGTCCCTATGGCTCCCCACAGCTGTACAGTGCCACTGCCTTTCCCTGAGCACTCATCTTCTCTGGCACCGAATTTCCTAACACTGTCCAGGTGGTGTCGTCAACTCAAACAGAGAAGGGCCTTCAAGTGATGAGTCTGGTTTTACAGTTATCAGTGGATGTGCAGAAAGGGTCATTTCATTACATCTCTGAAACCCCTGGGGGAGTTTCATGATTGCGTTTTTCTTGCCTCACTATTACCACCCAACTATACCACAGGTATGACAGTAAAAATAATAATAATGTTATGGTCAGGGTGTGCCATGGAAAGTGGGTGAGGTTTTGCAGCATGTTAGTGGTTACTCTCCTGTGCCCACGGCAAATTTGGAGTTGCTCATCCCCTTTTGAGAGAGTGGCCATGATGGGAAAGGGTACCAGGGTAGTCAGGACAGGGAACCACAGGACAATGGGTTTGCGGAACCTTTTTTAAGCACAGTGACACCCATCCAGACAGTGGAGAAAAGACGTTCTCGAGAGACTGTTGCCCTGGCTTGTTGAGCCATAAGCTTGACCCCGTAATGCAGACAGTAATTCTGCTCCTAAAGCCTGATGATGTCCTCCAGGATACAGCAGCCTGCGGCTCCAATGAGGTCCGGTCCCCTTGCACCACAGCACCATCCTATCCTGCAACATCTCAGTGGGGCAGCTCAGACGGGGCAGCAAAGGCAAGATTTGGGCCAAGCCCAGTTTTTGGATTGAAAACAAGAAAGCGTAAATTGAAGAATGCCCCTCGTGCACCAAACAGCTCAATCGTTTTTTTTGGAGCCACTTCTGCTCTTGAGAGGAAAGCTGTAGCAAGGCAAATACAAAGGGTCCGCACCAGCTGAGGCCCCATCAGTCCTCGGCCCTCGAGACAGGGCTGTCTGGGCACCTCCTTACCTGCGATCATTTGCACAAGCAGCTTTCTTGGGTTCTGCAAGTTCTCGTATCCTGTCAAAACTGCAGAAAAGGACAAACGTGCCATTAAACATATAGTTAAACCAACAATGCATAAAGAAGCTACTGCTGTACTCAAAGCCATAAAACACTCTTGAACCCCCGTGCTTTTGCCTCCATCCCTTGTGGGAGTGTGTTTAAAAGACCTCTCTCTCCAAGTAACTTTCCATCCATTTAATCTGGCGGACTCACAAGCCCACAGATTTTTGTAATATTAGATTGCAGAGACATGAATTTGCAATTCTGTCCTCACTGCAGGGTCTCTTTGGGACATGGCAGAGAGAGGGGGAAGGTACTTTTCTGGTTAGTAACATGCCATGCAACGCCAGTAGGTAGGAGATGGATGATCTCCCAGCCTACAGGAGTCCAGATGAACAGAAACACCTGTTACCAACACTCTTGTAGTTTACTAAAAGGCACCATGGAGACAGCACTGGTTCCCACATGGCTTTAGGAGCACAAGTGAAGACATACTTTTTATTTATCAGTCTATTTCAGTCGGTTTAGCACAGAGGTCTTAGATGGTATAGAGACACAGAAACATACACAGCCTGTGCCCTAGGAGCAGCACTAAAAATGTTTTTACTGAATATTCATCAGACCAAAACCTTTCAAGAAGCTCAGATATTGCTGTCTGCTCCTGCTGATCAAGTGTTCCAGGCCTGAAATCCCAGTGGCTGGGAAGCACTTGTGCTTTGTGAGCCTCAGTACAAACAGGAGGACTAGGCGACACCAGCACCACAAGTGCATTGCAGAACTCCCCGGTCTCATGGACCAAGCCCGTACCTACCCACTGGGGCTGCAGGTGCCTGTCCCCAGCCAGCTGGGGAACAACCGCACGATGTGGGCAGCTGTGGAAGTGCCCCAGCATGGAAAAAGCACAGCAAGTGAAAGCCTGAGGCATTGCCTCCCTGCTTAGTATCACCCGGCAATAAGGCAGCATAGCCCTAGAGAGGAGCAGGGCCACCAAAAGAGAGAGATGTTTGCTGACAGAAAACGGTCTGTGCTTTGGGGACACACCTGTGGTTTCTCTGATGGGGCTGATACCTCTGGTGAGATGCCGAGCCCCAGCAAACACTTGCTAGAGAGCTCAGCACCACAGAGATCCTTGCAATGGCAGACTGCTGTTCGAACATCTTTGCTGTGTGCTCCCTGCGAGCTGCCGGCTGATTTATCTCCTCATCACACCTAACCGCGGCTCACAACACTGCAAACACGGCTCCCACTGAGATCCCACAGAGGGAACTGCCTGTAGGACTTTAGCCCCCTGCCACCAGTTAAAGACAGGACATGCTGTCATTTCAGGAGCCAAACAACAGTTTCAGCTGTTCATTCCCAAGCACTTCCCCAGAGGCTTTTCCTTGCAAAGGTGCAAGGGGTTGAAGGATAACTACAAAGACAGAGGTCCCCCCTGAACCTAGCTGCCTCCCAGAGCTGGCATCATCTCTGCAGGCAGGCTCATCTCTTTTCTTCCACCGCTGGCACAGCTCCACCACATAGCCACAGCCACAGCTAGCACAAAGCACACGCCGCCCTAGTGCCCCACGCTGCTGGCCCAGTCACTGCTCTGCAAAGCTTGCATCATGGCCCAGCCAAGGGATGAGTCACACGTACGTCCAAACCAGGTCCCTCAACTCACTTGACAATCGTTAAGGTTGTTTTTTCCAATTACAAAAAAAAAGATGACTTTCTATCTTTTTATCATGGCAAAAGACATACAGGCATGCTCACACAGGAAACACCTGCAGCAGCTCTGCAACTTGCAGGAGTTAAGTCACCTCGTTGACAAGGGGACAGCCCTGAGGAGCCTTTTGCCTTCTGGTTCCCCTTCATGCTTCCCAGCTGGGAAAACAAAGCCTGGCTGCAGCCAAACACAGAAATGACTCCTCTCCAATGCCTTGAGCTCACACACACTCATTGCTTAAGTGGGATCAACTCCCATGGAGATCAATTCCTTCTAAAGTAAAGGGTCACAGCTTTGATTTCTAAGGGGCAGGACAGTCAGGCATTGTCTGTCACGAGAAGAAGGGGGAAGGGCCAAATCAGGCATCGTTTCCTCTGTGTGTTTATCACAGCATTATCTGATATATTGTCTTGCTGCTCGGCACAAATGCTCTACTGAACCCTCTCCAAAAGACCTGAAGCATGGCCTGGACACACAGCCGGGAGGCCGGAGCTCAGAGGGTTTCCTACGTGTTGTGTGAGCGTGCAGACAGGTAACAAGAAACCGCAAAGGCAAGAAGAGGTGAATGTAGGAGCTTGGTAACACCTGCAGCCTCGGCTGCCTGCTTTTCAGCGTGAAATAATCACGAGGCTGATGAAGCTCATGCATCTCCTTACGATCCAGTTGCACGGCAGTTATTTGTACTGTTTTCCCCTGGTACCTTCCCAGTGCAGCTGCACTTGCACGTGGGGTGCCCCTCTCCAGTGGCTGCTCCTCCTGCCAGGGTGCTGGCGGCCCCGAGGCTGCAGGACGGCGCATCCCCAGCACCATGTCCCCTCACCA